CTCGACTGGGTTGCTGTTAAGGAACTTAAAAATTAAGTTACCATAATGGGTATATATAGTAAATAATAGGGTTTCCCCAATATAGTAACTTAATTTAAGTCCCTTAAATCCCTATATTCCCCCCAGTTTCCATTTCATTTTCCATTTTCTTTTCCATTTGATTCTCCATTATAGGGGGATAATCCCTTAATTTAAGTTCCTTAACAGCAACCCAGTCTAAGGCAATTATAGCAGGGGAGTTGGACCTGTCACGATGGAGCCTCCTTTCAAGACTGCGATCGTCTTTACGGGGCTGGTTTTGAGGCTCCATGTTAGTTTGGGAGGGGGTAGGTGGGAGAAGCTTTTGGGTTTCAGGTCAGGGTTTTTAGGTTTGAGGGATTTGGGCTTAGCCCACGTTTTGCAGATCTATTGGTGGCGTGCTGTGATATAGGGACAGACTAAAGGAATCAAAAGGTTCTGCCAGACCCTAAACCCTAAACCGCTTTTTGTTCCGATTTCTAAGCTCGGACTACAATGCCAAAGGTCAAGTCCGCACACCCAAAGCGCCCACTAAACTTTAAGCCCTAAACCCTAAACCCTGAACCTCAACACAGAGCCCCAAGTCCCAAACCCTACGAACCTACAGTCCCCATGAAGTAGATAGAATATAGGGTTTAGGGTTTAGGGATATAGTCTGCCTCAAGTAAATAGAATATGGGAATATGGGGATCTTACCAAAGACATATTCTATCTACTTAAGGAGGACTGTAACCCAAGTTTCCAAGGCGAGTGGTGCCTGGGGGCATCGATCGTGCTTTGAAGGTGATATGAGGGCTTCTTCAAAAACCTTTAGACTGCCCTTAGCAGGGACCCCTTAAGGATTTGAGAAGAGGGGATTTTAAAAAATCAGCTTTATATCCCCCATACCTCTGCAAAATTCGTTATGGCCCATCTTTCTGCCTATTGGAAACTCCCCTCCGCTGGTTGCGACTAATTGAGGGCTAGGATTTGGGACTTAGGATTTCCGGGGCTTAGGGTTTAGGACATACCACCATGAACGATGAGACCCCAAAAATCCCTAGTAGGACCCTATTAAGGGTAGATTAAGGTACCCTTGAATTCTAATAGCCAATAGTGGTAGTTCCCTAGGTTCAGTTTTTGGCTCCCTGGATCTAGGGTTTCACTTCAGGTTCGCCTAGATTCGCCCTAAGGCTCGCGGGCTTCTGAGGGCTGCAGACATGCTAAGTATAATCTGGGTTGCTGTTAAGGAACTTAATTTAAGTTACTATATTGGGGGAACCATATTAATTACTATATATACCCATTATGGTAAGTTAATTTAAGTCACTATATTGGGGAAACCCCATTAATTACTATATATACCCATGATGGTAACTTTATTTAAGTTCTTTAACAGCAACACAGCAACCCAGTAATTAGAAGACTTTGGAAAGCCAACCTGGAAAGTGAAGCTAATATTATAGTCCCCCCTTAAGTAGATAGAATATAGGGTATATTATTACGGTTATATAGGGATAGTGGAAAAGAAAATGGAAACTACTATATTAGAATAGGGTATATATTGGGGTTATAGTCTCCCCCTTAAGTAGATAGAATATGGATTTCGGTATATTGTAATAAGATCCCCATATACCCCATGGTCTATCTACTTCAGGGGGACTATAGATTCAAACTGCAGCTCGGGGGTCCTAATTTGTGCGCTGGGGGTTCCCGAACTCCTCTTGTAACGCATTCGTTGCAAGGATGGGGGCTTGGGGTTTGAGAGCAGCACTGCGTCTTTTTCCACCTTAACCAACGCAAGCATCCAAAACATGGAACTTATACCAATAGTCCCCTTGCTTGCGCAATGCAGAAACAGGGTCATTTTCTGTTGTTCCATGCCTGGGATACTTTAGGGGGCCTAGGCAACTTCATTTACCTTAATTGCTGCTGTTGCTACTGCTGCGGCCTGCGGCTGCGCAGCTGCCTGCTGTTGCCTGCCGCCCCCGCCCCCGCCCCCGCTGCTGCTGCTGCTGCTGGTATTGCTGCTCCATCCTACTCGTCGTTGTCCTCCTCCTCCTCTTCCTCCCCTCCCTGCCGTTCCCCCGCTCCTATTCATACTGTACCTCTCTCAGTGTTAACACTGTATACATATACTGCTACTGCCAGCGGCGCCGGTGATGTAGTTACTGCTGCCGCAGCTAACGCTAATGCTCCTACAGCTGCGCCACAGAGTTTTGCAACTACCAGTGCCTCCTACTGATACACGGATACTTCTACTGAAGCTGCTGCAATTACCACTGACAATGAAACCTCATGGTATATGGTAGTTTCCCAAAACAAGGGGACCCTAATATAGACCCCAAAATACTATAATCCTTATTATGGCGACCCCCAATAAGATACCCCTAATTTTGGGAAACCCTAAACCCTAAACCCTATATAACCCCTATATCCCCCTTTAAAGGGTACCCCCTAATTTGGGGAATCCCCCATATCTCACTTTGAAATGTGAAGTTGTTCAGGATCTCTGTGACTGGTGGGAGCACCGCCACGATCCCCAGGCTCGAAAGCAAACCGTTTGTGGACACGGTTTAGGGTTTAGGGTTTAGGGTTCGTTGTTTGAGATGGAGGCATTCTGATGGTGCATTGCATAGTTCCCCTTTCTCTCCGTGTGACTTGCAGGGGTGCTTGCCGGGAACTAGCCCAAAAGCCTTGTCCCTTAAACTCCAAACCCGAAGAAACCCTAAACCCTAAACC